ATAGACATGCACAATTTGCTGTGACAGCTATTTATAATAATTTTTTAATTTCTGAGGCTCACTAATAATTTCCCCTATTCTAATTCATTTCTTGGTAATTTGTGTCTTCTCTTTTTTATTTATCAGTTTTGCTAGGGATTTATCCAATTTTATTAGTATTTTCAAAGAATCAACTTCGATTTTGTAGATTTTCTTTAGTATGCTTTAAATTTCTGCTTTCATTTTCTTCTTTCTTTGGGTTTATTTTTCCTTTTAAAAAAGTCTTTGGTGGGTGTTAGAATGTTAGTTTTCAGCTTTTTTTCTTTTCTACTATATGCATTTAAGACTATAAATTTCCCTCTGTGACTTGAGCCACATCCTACATTTTTGATGTGATTTTTTTTTTTTGAGACAGACTTTTGCTCTGTCACCCAGGCTTGAGTGCAATGGCAAAATCCTGGCTCACTGAAACCTCTGCTTCCTGCGTTCATGTGATTGTCCCGCCCAGCCTTCCGAGTAGCAGGGATTACAGCCACATACCACCATGCCCGGCTAGTTTTTGTATTTTTAGTAGAGATGAGGTTTTACCATGTTGGCCAGGCTAGTCTTGAACTCCTGAGCTCTAGTGATCCACCTGCGTCGGCCTCCCAAAGTGCTGGGATTATAGGCATTAGCCACTATGCTCGGCTTTGATGTGATATTTTTACAAGCATTCAATTAAAAATATTTTCCATTTTCCTACAATTTCTTCTTTGACAGGTGGGTTATTTTAAAGTGTAGTTCTTTTCAATAACAATATTTTTATTTATTTCTTAGTTACACTAAGATCAAAGGATATATTCTATATGGTTTTAGTCTTTTGATAAAGATTGAGATTTGCTTGTTCATCATATGGTCAGTTTCAGTAAGTATTCCCTGTGTATTTGAAAGTGTTGTGAATTGTACAGTTGTTGAGTGCTGCCATAATATGTATCTGACTTGGATCAAGTTTTTAAACATGTTTCTTTTCTGTATCTATTGATTTTTGTTTGCTTGTTTTATCATTTACTATGTTAATCTCCCACTAGGATTGTGGGTTTGCCTGTCATTGTAATTGTTAGTTTTTGATTTATGAATTTCGAGGATGTTATTATTTGCATAAAAATTGGAATTTAAAAATCTGTGTAGTGGCTCAACTCATCACTATAAAATGTCCTTTTTTTCTTTTTTCTCTTTAAAAATCTCTGGTGATACCTCCTAAACTCTGTTTTATCTGAATGGATAGCTATGACAGTTTTTTGGGTAGAATATACATAGTATGTATTTTTCAATGCTTTTGCTTTCAGTCTTGTGTACTAATATTTAATGTATGTCTCTTTTAAGTACCATATAGTTAAATAATGTTCCCCACAACACCTGTCTCTTAGTTGTCATATTGTAGTCTATTTATATTTAAGTAATTGCTCATACTTTTGAGATTATATCTAAATCTTATTATTATCTATTTGTCTCATCTGTTGTCTCTTTTTCATTTGTTTTACGTTCATCGTTTTTAAAATTTTTATTTGATTTTTAGAGACAACACTCACTCGGTCACTCAGGTTGGCATGCAGTTGCATGATCATAACTCCTATCGTAACTCTTAGGCTTGAGCAGTCTTCCTGCTTCTGCCTCCTAAGTGGCTGAGATTACAGGCACGTGCCACCTTGCCTGAGTACTTTTTTACCTTTTGTAGAGATAGGGTCTTCCTGTGGTGCCCAGGCTATTCTGTAACTGCTCAAGCTGTCCTCCTACCTTGGCCTCCCAGAGTGCTAGGAATACAGGCATGATCCACCACACTGGGCCAATCATTTATACATATTTAATTCCATATTTTTTAACTCCTCTATTAACTTGTTATAATTTTTAATTTATTCTCTCTCAGTTGTTGCTTTATTATGACATGAATTCATAACTTATTATAATAATAATAAATTAATACTTTATCATGGCCTGGATAACACAAGGACCTTAGAATGCTAACTTCATTTATCTCTTTTTGCTGTTGCCATGCATTTTAATTCTAAATGTATTTTAAACACCACATTCCTGTTGTTGTTTTGTAAAGTCAGTTTTCATTTAAACTTGCCCTTATTTCTCCTTCAGGAGCTCTTCCTCATTTCCTGCAGTTCTTTGCTTATTTCTATAATCTTCTTCCTTTTGCCTGAAGAATTTCTGTTAGTATTTTTTTTTTAGTGACAATCTACTATAAACCAATTCTCTCAGATTTTGGTTGTTGGAAAGCATGTTTATTTCACAATCATTTTTTGAATGATTGTAAAATGATTGAAAATTTATGTAGAATTTTAAGTTACCAGCTACTTACATATGGCACTAAAGATGTTATTTCATTGTCTTCTGTTCTCCATTGTCTTGTGCTGTAATGTCAGCTGTCAACCTGATTGTACTTACTTGAAGGTAGTGTGTCTTTATAAAGAGTTTTGTCAGGTTTTCAGGAATTTTATGGTAATATGACACTTTGAATCTTGTAGATTTTTCTGTATGTATCCTTGGTAGGTATGTCAGGCTTCATGAATGTATGATTAGATGTCTTTTGACAGTTTTGGAAAATTCTTGGCTAGTATCTAAAAATATTTCTCTGTTACAGTCTTCTTTTCCTTTAAGACTCTACTTACATGATGCTAGAACATTATGTCTCCTCAGTTTTTTATTTTTCATTTTTCCCTCTCTTTGCATTAGTGTATTTTTTACCTATCTTTCTGTTCACTAATCTTTTAGTCTGCTGTGTCTAACCTGTTGTTAAGTTCATCTGTTTAAAGTCTTCATTAGTTTCTTAATTTTTTAGTTCTGTAATTTTTTTTTTTTTTTTGAGATGAAGTCTCACTCTGTTGCCCAGGCTGGAGTGCAGTGGTACAATCTCGGCTCACTGCAACCTCTGCCTTCTGGGTTCAAGCGATTCTCCTGCTCAGCCTCCTGAGTAGTTGGAATTACAGGCACGCCACCACGCCCAGCTAATTTTTTGTGTTTGTAGTAGAGATGGTGTTTCACCATGTTGGTCAGGCTGGTCTTGAACTCCTGACCTCGTGATCTGCCCCCCTCAGCCTCCCAAAGTGCTGGGATTACAAGCATGAGTCACCGCGCCCGGCCAATTCTAGAATTTTTATTTCATTCTTTTTTATAGATTCCAATTCTCTGTTAACATCTTCAACTTTGTCTTCTTTTTCCTTGACATATTAAATAGTAATCATTAATATTTTAAAGGCTGTATCTGGTAACACCACTACCTAGGTCACCGCTTAGGTCTATCTGTATTCTGTTTTGTTTTGGTCATTTGGTCCTGTTTCCTAGATGCTTGATAACTTTTGGTTGATTGCAATATACTGTGAATTTAAAATTATAGTGGCTACATTTGATGTCTCTATAGAGATTTTTTTTTTCTTCTGGCAAGCTGTTAGAGAGCAAAACACATCACCTAGACCCAGGCTAGGATTAAGATGATTCTAGGTTGGTTGTAAAGACTGCTGCATTTCATTTTTGCCCTTAGACTAGGGTGTATTCCTCCAGGAGATTCCATTGAAAGCATAGACTGATTACCAGGGTTTCTTCTCAGCAGGCCTCCCACTCCTTTTGTTGTTGTATTTTTATTTTGTGTTTCCTCAGCACTGTGAGACTACTAGGAGCTCTGCTTTGTTTTTTAGCCTCTTAGTTACCTCTTTCTGCTTGGTTCCTAGACCTTTTGCTGCTCATAGCATAGCTATTGGCAAATCCCTGGAAAGGAAGAGCAGTGAAGAATATTCAGCTCACTTCATTGCATTTTCCCTCTCTCCAGGATCTTGGCCTCTTCAAGTCCTGAGTGCCTTGGTTCCTCTTTGATGCCTTTAGAAAGCTGGGCTTTTGTTTGTTTGTTTTCTGGATTGTTTGTTTGAAAGGAGGTTGGTCTGATATGTGCCACTCCAAGTTAGCCAGGGTTTGTACAAAGTTAACCTCCTTAACCTTTTTCACATTTTATGTTTTCATGTGCTGGAGAGTAAATAGCTTAAATGAGGTAACTTGGCTGAAGAATTTGGTACAGTATGTATCCACATGCTTTATTCCTTTTATGTCAATAAGTAGCAAAATTTTTAAAGCAGATGTATTTCCTATCTTATTTGCCCTATAGCCCATAGACAGTCTTGTTCACTGAAGAAATATCCTAAAATATTACTACATTTATATAATAGGAATTTTCTTTTAGCATAAGAAATATTTGTAGAACAAACCAAAAACAGATATTGACTAATATATATATTTTTTGCTCCCTGTTGCTTCCAGTTAATTGAGGTGTTTTGAAATATATTTTTAGAGGTTATAAATGAATCTAAATCTAAAACATTGTAATATCTGTTGAGAACTTGGACTTTTTTTAACTTTGTTGCTTCTATTCCAGAGCTTATGTTAAGAGTGGCTTACTACTTTTTAAACTGCTTCTCAGTTTACTCATCTGTAAAATGGCAACAATTGTGTGACCTAGCTCAAGGGATTGTGAAAAGCATTCAATGCTATATGTTAGTCTGATTTGGTTGCCATAATAAAATATCATAGACTGAGTGGCGTAAATCACAGAAATATATTTTCTCATAGTTCTGGAGTCTGGAAAGTCCAAGATCTTGGTTTTGTACAATCCAGGCTTTGGTGAGGGCTGTCTTCCTGGCTTGCAGATGATCACCTTGTTGCAGTGCCCTCCACAGCCCTTTCTCAGTGCATGGACATAGAGGCTGGAGGAGGGAAATAGCAATCTTAAGACCACCAGTCTTACCAGGTTAGGGCCCCACCCTGATGATTTTATTTAACCTTAATTACTTTCTTAAAGACTCCATCTCCAAATATAGTCACACTGGAAGATAGGGCTTCATCATATGAATTTTAGGGGCTACAGTTTAGTCCACAGCATACTGCAATACATGAAAGCATTTAAAATAGTACCTAGCACATAAAATAGTACCTTAATAAATTTCGTTGTATGGTAGAGATGATTCTAACCTTTTTTTTTTTTTCTTTTGTAGGTGCTGACTTTGGGTTATTTTTTGAAACGCTAGGAATGGTAATTTCTACTTTTCTGGACTTCAAACTAAGAAGTTAAAGAGAGTCCTCTGTAACAAATCTCTTCTGCTGTCCTTTTGCATTTGGAGACTCCTTTATTTCACCATATCCAAGGAGTATATAACGAGTGCTGTCATTATGAATGTGACAAGTTTATTTTCCTTTACAAGTCCAGCTGTGAAGAGACTTCTTGGGTGGAAACAGGGCGATGAAGAAGAAAAATGGGCCGAGAAAGCTGTTGATGCTTTGGTGAAAAAACTGAAGAAAAAGAAAGGTGCCATGGAGGAACTGGAAAAAGCCTTGAGCTGCCCAGGGCAACCGAGTAACTGTGTCACCATTCCCCGCTCTCTGGATGGCAGGCTGCAAGTCTCCCACCGGAAGGGACTGCCTCATGTCATTTACTGCCGTGTGTGGCGCTGGCCCGATCTTCAGAGCCATCATGAACTAAAACCACTGGAATGCTGTGAGTTTCCTTTTGGTTCCAAGCAGAAGGAGGTCTGCATCAATCCCTACCACTATAAGCGAGTAGAAAGTCCTGGTAAGTGAGTCCTTTTATGTTGATCTGCTTTGTGTGCCCAGTACCGGATTTGTGTTGTTTAGAACATCAAAATAATCCCCTTCCTTGTTTTTAGTTATAATTTAAAAATATTCATGGAAACTGTGTGTGTGTCTGTAAGAGAGAGAAGGCCTTTGAATATTTTGTACATTTTAACAGCTTAGTTATCTCTGGTTAACATTATTTCTTAGGAGCAGGCTATGACAATTGTCATTGCAGTACTAATACCTCTAATTTTTAGTAAATTGTTTTCTTTCTAAATTTATTTTTTATGTCTCACATGGTTCTCTGCATTTCTCTAGATAAAACTAGCTATGAATTGTATTCTAAGGGAAGAAAATTAGAAGTGCAGTATTGCTGTCTATATGCTTGAGGGAAGCACAGCATGAGGGCAGTTGCCAGTGATTTCAACGATTTTGAACTTAAGAGCAGCACTTTTTATCATCTCTGGTGGAATTCTGCTGTGGCATATTTCCTGTGGTGAATATAAAGGAATTCCATTCATCTGTGGAATCATTTGATACTGTTACTTCATAAAATACACCTAGTTTTTATATGTGTAGTCTTTTGAGAGGTATGGTAAAGGACATATATCAAAATTTGGACAGTTTTGCCCTCAAGTTAGAATCTGCATTCTAGACAGTTGGATCATTAGAAAGTGATTAGATATTCATGCACTTAAATGTCTCATTGTCAGATTGGGACCAATTTTGTTGATGGATTGGCTGTTAATAGTTACTGGGTTACTAAGGCTGTACATTAGAATCATATGGCTCTCCTCCCAGACATCCTGATCCTGGAATAGCCTGGTATTCTGTTTTTAACAAGTACTTCAGGTGTTGCTAATGTCTATTGAATTGATGTTTGGGAATTGCTAAACTAGATCATGTAATAGCATGGTTTTCAAATAAAAGGCATTCTGTAGTTTTGTGGAATATTTAAGACATGTCCCCAAAAAAAGATTTTAAAGACTAGAGAATAGTATAACAAGTATCTTTGTATCCACTACTTATTTTAAGAAATTAACGATTACATGTAAACTAGACCCCCTGTTTTTGCTCCTCTAATTTTGCTCTCTTTGATAACCACTGTTCTGAATCTGACGCTTATCATTCTCATGCATGTTTTTATATTATTATTGCATATGTATGAGCTCATGACTACATAATTTTTTTATATTTTAAAATGTTATATAATGATATTGGAATTTCCCTGTACGACTTTTTTATGTTTATCCAACATTACGTTTTTGTGATTTCTAGATTATATACTTTAGGATTCCCTTGTTAAGTCTTGTGACTTTGGGAATTTATTGGAATTTCATTGATTTTATTTGGGGAAGATCGACATAGTATGCTCTTGAGCATAATATTATGTAGTACACTTTTAAGTTTCTCCATATAGCTCTTGCACATCTTAGATTTATTTCTAGATAAGTCATTTTTATTGTATCCTTTTAAAAGTTACCTTTTGCTGCAGTTGTTCTTGGCTAAGAGAGTATAGCCTTTTTTCTAACAACTGTGCTCAATTCTCCTTACTAATTCCAATATAGACATTCTTTACTGCTTGTTATATCAGCTGTGATGCAGTGTTCTTTTTTCTCAACTCAGCACAGAGATACTCTTCTGGCCAGAAATGGAAGTGGAGCTAAGAGCTTTGAAGAGTAAAATGTATTGGATAAGTAATATGTACCAGCAGTTATTTAGGGAGATGATTTTTTTTTTTTTTTGATCCTCATAGTAAACTTAAAAAGTATTAATATATAGGGAAGATTTTAGTTCTGCATAAGCAATGAAACGGAGGCCCCTACAAATTAAGGGCCCTGTGTTAGATCTAGAAAATAGAGGCATTTGACATGGAAACCAAAATTCACTATGAATATGTCTTCTCCATCCACATTCCCCCTCACCCTGTGCTAACCTTCCAGCATTTCATCTTGCAGTGCAGCAGCTGCCTCCTGGCTGGTCATCCCCTTCAGTCCATTGTCTACAGAGAGGGATCTTTTAAGATGCAGACATGATCTTCTTGTCCTGCTTTTCATTGCTCTTGGGAAGTCCTCTAGAGAGGTCTGCACATTCTGGTTTTTGCCTCCCTTTCCAACTTCCTTTGTGCTCTTGCATGCTTTGTGTGCTTGAGTTTAGTGGAAACATTTCATGCACGTTTCCTCTATCTGTACCTGTTTATCCTCCCTCTTTGCCTAGCCCACTCTTATTTATCCTTCATGTATAGCACATGGTCATTACTTAATAAACTAAGTAATTGTGTGGCGGAGGTCAGTTTCATTGGGAAACCTTTCTTGACACTGCCTTCTCCACATATATCTCCCTACTCCACTTGGGCAGATTAGGTCTCAGTTCCCACAGCAACCTGAATTCCTTTAGAATGTTCTTCACACTTATAATGATTGTTCTGTTGGTCTTCTCTGCAAGACAGTAAATAAAGCTCCATGAGGGCAGGGACTATGTATATTATTAACATCTCTATTTTTAGCAACAAGCTCAGTTTGATAAATTTTAGCTGTTAAATGATGTTGCTGATTTTTCATTTAATAGAGCCATTTGGCCATTTTTTTAGAGCTAAATTTTCTGTTTGTCTATACCTTTTGACCATCTTCTTCCCTTCTTTGGCCATTTTATGGCTATTACACCTCTGATACAAGGTGAAAAGTTAAAACCAATACCGAGATGAATTTTTTTACTCTTAATAACATATGAGCTAATAAAATAATGGGGAAGAAGTGGAAAATTGGCTTATGTAGGCATTTTGAGATTCCACAAATGCCATTTCACCCTCCCCATTACCAGGAATCTTGTGAGTCATGGATAGAATAGAACAATTCTGGAAAACATGAAGCCTGAGGCTAAGATCTATTTAATTTGAACATACCAAGATTTTATGTATATTTTTCATATTGTGAAGTGACTGATGTGAGAATTGGAACAAAGAACTTTTTCCAGAGACCACTATGAAGCAGTCCCTGTACCATTTGAGGAGAACTACTAAATAAAAGTGCAAGAGGCAGCCAGGTATTGTTGTACATTCCTGTAGTCTCAGCTACTCAGGAGGCTGAGGTGGGAGGATCACTTGAGCCCAAGAGTTGAAGGCTGCAGCACACTATGATCGTGCTGTAAATTGCCATTATACTCTAGCCTGGGCAGTATAGTAAGACTCTGTATCAAAAAAATAAAGTTGAAAAAACAAGTGCAACATAGTGAAACCCTAGCTCTACTAAAAATACAAAAATCAGCCAGGTGACGTGGGGGCACCTATAATCTCAGCTACTCTGAAGGCTGAGGCAGGAGAATCACTTGAACCTGAGAGGCACAGGTTGTAGTGAGCCAAGATTGTGTCATTGTACTCCAGCCTAGGGGACAAGAGTGAAAACTTTATCTAAAAAAA